CATTTTGGAAATTAATTGTTATTCTACAAATCTGTAAGCAAAAGCTAAAATTCTTTGAATGATGTTGAATAGTCTGAATGTTAACCTCTATGAGCCTTTTTTGAGCATATTTACTGTATTGATAATACACTGTGTGCTTGTTAAAGCAAGTTAGATATCAGTGCTAATGCTTTTTATATTTTATAAATTCTTTTGTGATTTTCAAACACCTCATACAGTAGCAAAACCTTTTCCCACATACTGTTCACTTCCTAACGAGCTTCATGAGATTTTGTTGTAAAGTAATTCAGGTATCATTGAAACAGCATACTCTACATAATGTGTAAGATCTGAAATTATTGTTCTATTTTGTTACAGAAATAACAAAGTAAAAAAAGTAAACAAATTGTGATGATGTTTGTTTCTCCAAGCCTGCTAGCAAAATGCAATCTTAAACCTTATTTTGTGTAATTATTTGCTGTATATTTCAAATTTATACACAGTATGTATAAAATGTTTCAATACTGTAACCTGTTCTGGCAACAGTGTCATGGTAATTATAACATTTAATAATTCACTCAATTCTTCAAAACGATAACTGGAATTCCTGAAACTGAAATTTAGGTTTCTGACAATCAAATGAGAGTGGCACCACTCTTACTCCTGCTGGGCACTAGCAGAAATTGTACAGACCTGGTGCTTACCTCTTCAGCTCTTCTCTATAGTGTAATGCTTTTTTCTAGGTTCCTGTTGCAGTGACAGCAGACCCAGGCAGACTGGGCTATTTATAAAACTGGCAGTCCCCACTGCCAACTAGCACTGTGCCCTGGAAATCCCTTAAATATTTCATTGTCCATTTCCGATCCTTTTTTTTTCCTGTGAAGGGCAGAACAGAGCAGGGAAGGGCACAGCAAAATGGAGCCTCCTGGGTCAATTTAAACGGATAGTCTGTTCCTCTCAGTTTGAGTTCTTGTGAGTCTGGAATAAAGTCAGCTGCCTGTAGTGGTTAATTGGCGGCTTTTTGGTCTAATGGGCCAAGGAAATAAACCTGTACTTAAGGTCCTGAGGATTGAAATCAAAGGCAGTTCAATCAGTTGAGCCCATTTCTGCAATGAAAGTAACTGGCATTTCAAATAGCAAAATAACAACCATAAAATAATTGTTGTTTCAGTCTCAAAGGCTTGCTTATTACTTTCATGTGGAAATTGGCAACAAGTAGTTATTCATATATTTTATACAATTAAAGTACATACGTACAAAATAAAGTTTCTTAACTCTGCGGTTATATTTTAGTTACCATGTATTTAAGGCAAATGGTATTTGATAAGCCAAGTAAATAGTAATTTTTGTAAATAGTAATTTTACACCATATTGTTTTATAATATATAACATTATTCATCTTAAAGAAAACTAAACTGCAAATGAACAATGTGAAAATGAACAATTTAATGGGATTTTTTACATTATTACAAAAGGGAGTATTTCATTTCTGTGGATGATTATGAGGACTACTTCTCTTAATATCCACGTGGACCACATGTACAGTAAATGTTTTCTTATAGCAGTGAGTTATAGCTTTCCACATGTATTTTAGAAGAATAAACTGAAGAAACCATAAATCAGCATTAATTGTTTCAAGGAGTGTATGTATATATTGTACTTTTGCGCTGTGTAATCAGTGTCTTCAGCATGCACTTGGACTTGTTTAAGCATCACAGCTCTCTTCTCATTGTAAAGTATTGTAAAAAGTCTATTATGCCGCAAGAACTGTGTTGACTTGCTGTGTTGGCTGTACACTCAGCCACATAAGTTAGCAGTTAAAGAATACACATTCTGTTAAATTCCCAGAGTCAGCTATAATGTGTTACAGCACTGATTCTGTTCAGTATTCATTTTTAATATCTTGAGTCCTGGGTTCTGTTCATGACCATGTTTATTTAGGCTTGTGTGCCGCCATTGTAAACACAGAGCAACAAGTATCCCTTCTCGCCCTGGTTTTTGGCTTGTAGTTTTCGAAATCCTGTTATCTTGCCCTGTTCTGGAGTTGCCAGGAGCATTTCAACCTGGTTGGAAACAAATTCTGGTCTTCTGAGCGTGTATGTTATTTTAGCTGCACTTTCAAAAGAGAAAAGCCCATCACCGCTTCTTATTGTTAACTTCCCGGGTGCGTATTCAGGGATCGGAAACCGTGGAGCGGTGTGGGAATGTTCTCCAGCACAAGCTGGGATAGCTCGGCCGCAGGGCGGGCTGGGAATTCTGGGGAGGAGGCGCGCATGGGCACAGTGGGTCTGCGCCCTTGCACAAATCAAAAGGCTGTATTGTTGGAATGAGAAACAGATGCTGGTGTGGAATTCTCCTGACTGCAGCACTTTTTTTTTTTTTCCTGGCTTTGCTTTGCACTCTCTCTCAGTCTCAGCCATTTTCTCTCTCCCGGTTTCTCCGCCCTACAGCTTGCTTAGATCTGAAGGAATTCTGACTGGCTGGTCTCCCACTGCTGGCTCTGGGCTCTGACATGGTTGTGGTACACTGAAGCTGGCTATGGGCTGGGAAAGCAATCTGATGAGGAGGAGAAGGGGGGAGGTGGGGTGGGCTTGCCTGGGCCTCTTCCGATCTTTCCCCAAAGTTTTTGTTTAAAAAAAAACTATTGTAACTAGCAATTTCAGTTTGCATTCCTTTGTTATGAGTTGTGCAGGTTTTGAGAGAATTTCGGTTGTTCCTACTGAAGATTTTGGCACGTTGATAAACCTTCCTGGCTTAAGTTCCTTCTTATGTGGAAGAGATATGAGGAAGTATGTAGGTGTTACACCAGACATGCTTCCCGAGAAGGGGGAAGCACTGTAATTTAACTCCTCTGCACTCTTCCTGATAATATACCTGGGAAGCTGCAGTATTTTTCCAGAAAGATAGAGTGTGACACTGTAGGAATTACTTATTTCTTGTTTTATTACATGATATCCGAGTTCTCCTCTTTGGGCACCAGTATCTAAAAAAAATAGTCTTTTAAAGAGAATGGCTTTGTTACTGGTCATTGCTGATCTCAGTTATTAATACCCCTTTATCTTCTGTCTTTAGAAACCCAACAAACCCAAAACTGTTAGAGAAGAGTGTGTGTGGAGAGCTGATCTTTAGAGGCCAAGTCTGTACTGTTTGCAAATCAGATCACTTGAGTTAAAAGTATAACTCTAACTATGTTTCTTTACAAAATTACTATAACTAGCAGCAATGGTGTTAGTTTCAGTTTGCAAGAAACTGTTCTCTTTTTAATTTCGGTAGGGAGAACATGAATTACATCTTTCTCATTAGAGGTCTAGGGAAAGTTAGTATTGTGTACAGAATAGAGCTGCTTCCTATGCTGTAACTTACTGTAATAGAAAATCTTTGATTTATAAAACTGCTTTTGCCATTTTTGACAAAAATGAAATACATTACACTTATTGTTGAGTGGGTACTTGAACGGTGTCTTGCGTCACGACTAGATATGACAGTCTGCTTTTAAAATCATTAAAGGATAACACTGAATGTCATGCTCTAAAAGGTAAAAATTACATAGAAATGCAAAAAATAAGACTTCCTTTATTAGCTGAGCTTCTGTGGCATTGACTGCATATTACAGTTGCATTCCTGCAATGGGTGTTTCACTGCTTTTAAAGCTTGTTTTTGTGACAGTTAGTGATATTAATGCTCTCCCTGTCATATTAAAATTAAAATTAATAAGGTGAATAAGGTGAAGTAAAATATAATGGATAATTCATCTTTATTGCAATATGAAAGGGTATTGCAGTACTGCATTTAATTAAATAATAAAACATCTGTACTGAATCTTCAGAGTGGAAGGGAAGGCTTCAATTCGTTTCACCCCTAATTAACCCTTCCAGTAGATTTACAAGCTAATGAAGGGTATATGGCTAAGAAACAGTAGTGAAATACCTTACGCCTGTCAGTGTATGCCCCTGTTTTCATGATATTTATGAGATATATCTGCTTCTGTAAATGATTTCATCTGGTTATCAGTGTGATTATCATATGTCCTACTGTATCTTTCAGATTAGTCCTGTCATTGAGTCTGTATGATCCTAAGTATCAATCCTTATACATACAGTACTTATCACTTGAGAACAAACCTCCTTTCTGTGGCAAATAGTGTGTTACAAATGATGTATTGTGTTAAGAGTACACCTGAGAGGTCCTTGTCTTTCTGCATGTCCCTTTTGCTTTTATCTTTGTAATTCACCTTCTGGTTGGTTGGGACCCCGACACCAGCTGCAGTCCCTGTTCATGACGAGTGTAACACTACTTAGCCAGTCTCTTATTTTTAAAGGCAGAACTGGTCACTAAAGGGAAATCGATTTGAATTCTTTAACTTGCTGCTGTAGCTTGCAGTGCATTGACAAATGCCTGAATGTGTTTTAAAAAATTATGGTTACACAAAATGGAAAGTACAGAATTGATTCCTAGGGCTCTGTCATTATTGATCTAACACAATAAAAAAGCATTTTGTATAATGTGCATTGTTGGTGCTGTTATTATTTCTCTGTTCATGGGCCATTAACAAAACAACTGTAATTTGAGGGAACCTTTTCACACACCACTGTTGGTCACCATTTTGGAGTACTATGGAGGTGCCTTTTGATAAAAACTTTGTAAGCGTAATTGTTTTACAAGGCACCATTAGGAGTGGGTGTGAAACCCAAAGTAATCTCTTTTAGCATTCCATTCTTTTCAACCACCTTTTGCTACTGTTCATTTGCGCCTCCAAGAGACCTCACTCTCGCATCTTCCCAGTCACAGTATCTTGCCCTCCTCTTTCACACCCTTTGGAAAACCTCAGTAGAATTGTGGCCATTGAATGTCTTATCCATGAAGTGGTTTCAATTAGCAGCTCCTCAAAGCTTTGTGTTCTTAGACAGCTGTTTCCGATTTAGGGTCTGCAGAGATGTAAAAAAGAAAACATCCGTGGTGACGAGCTTCCCTTCTTCCTCATTGTTGTTTTGGATCACTGACGCTCTCCATCTCTTTTCCAGCTGTGCAGATGCCCATGCCTAAGTGCTGCCTCTTCTTGTGTGACACGTCGGAGGCTGGCAGAGCTGTAGTGGGGTACAGCTGAGCGAGGGTGGGCACTGGGCTTCGTGCCTGCCGAAGGGATCGTCCCATTTGGACGAAGATGAACAAACTGAACTTTCATAATAACAAAACCATGCAGGACCGTCGCTGTGTTTGTGTCTTCCTTCCTAATGACGATACGCTGAACATCATCGTCAGTGTGAGTGGGCCTTGTCATTTTCTGCTACCAACGCCACAAGAGTGTCCATAAAACATGCCCTCTAGCAGATATGACTGCTATTTTCAGAAACCTGTAAATATGTATGCATTTTCCATGCCATTCAGAATCTTGAATCAAAGTACTCCTGCTTTGCAAGATTAGAATCCTTGACTTTTCGAGGATGTGTATCATTGTAGTAGCACTACACTAGGTTACATATAATTTCAATTTACCATGTTACCTTTGGCTGACCTGGTGAAGCTGATTGTGAAATGAATTATAATTTACGTGTTACTCCCTGCTTTGACAAAGTTTGAAGCATACATTAGAATTCAGTTTTTTTTTCCAGTGGTTTTGAAATATTTATGTAGATGGTACAGAATATTCTGGAGAGCACCTCTCAAATTGAGTGATTGACTCCCCTTGAATAATGCAATACAAAAAGTTTTAAAAAAAAAGTTTTTTTGGGAATTGTATTTGATGTTGAGGGTAGGTAAAGAAATGTGCCTTGAAACTTACAGTTTTGCCAGACAGACTACAGATGTCAGCAAATCTTAAATGTTTGAGTTTATTAGGACTTGGAACAGCCTTGCCAGCGTTGTCATTCTCAGCTGCCGGGTTCCCTGTCTGAACCGTGTGTGTCTGTGTGTCCTCTCCACAGGTGAAGACGCTGTGTCAGGAGCTGCTTGTCCAGGTCTGTGACCTCCTCCGTCTCAAGGACTGTCACCTGTTTGGGCTCAGCGTCATTCAAAGTAAGAGCCTGAGCTTCTCCATTTATTAAGATAATTCTTCAGACTCTTAACATCAAGCCAACACTTTCTGCGTGATCTCCACATTGGGGTAAAGTAAAGAACCCCCTTGTTGGACCTGCTGAAAATCACACATCACATTTCCGCGAGACCATATGGCCAACTGTGTCTTCTCAGCTTACAAAGCAGCAACCTTTGCACTTTCTTTTCAAAGTCTACTTTGCTGTTTTATTAAAGTACCGTTGCGAAAATGATTAAATGGAATTTGATTTGAATGCATATCTTTTTCTCTAATGCACTTAGTGATCACTTCTGCATTGCAAGATTTCTCTGGGTCGTGTGGGCAAAGCAAGTTGTATTTCTTCATTCCAGTTGTATTTTTCTCCAGCCAGCATGGATGTTGATGTGATTTGTGCCTAGTTGTCTTTCTTTGCTTAATGATTTTGCCCATCCCCTGTGCTGCTGTGGAATTGCTCTGTAGAGAGGGTTCCGGACCGTGACCTGGGTGCTGTTAATGTGTCTGTGGCTGTGTTGTTAGTGGTTTGGATTCCCTGGTTTCTGATGTGTGGAGCAGGGTGATTAATTGGGACAGCTGCCTGCTGTGCAGTCTACAAGCATGTGTTCACCAGGAGTCGCTGTTCCTAATGAAACCAAATTCCAGGGCAAGTGGTCTGAACAGCATGAAATCCTAAGACAAATGAGAGCTCTGCCAAGGAGATCAACTTGTAACACACAGGAGTCTCCCAGTGAGGGGTGGAGATCTTGTCAATATCATGCTGATAACATGTTTCATTTATTTCCTCTGAAATAATGCTTTAAAATGTTTTCCCAGCTGTTGTCTGCACTGCAAAAATAATTGAGTCTTCATACTAATTAATTGTAGTTTCTTTACAGCCTACATCCAATATTCACCATCTGAAATTTATATAATGAATAATGAACGTAAACCATCTCCACTATAGCACAACTTCTACATATTGACATCTGTGGATGTTTATTAAATGTTTTGCCAGTGTGAAGTTTGAGAGATGAACACATACCACCTATTGTTTTGAAAATGCCAGTTTCACAGTCACACAGCTGTATTAAATACAGCAAGAAATCTTTCCACTAGAGGACTACTTTGTTTGCATTTGATGTGTACAGCTACATAGTTATAGAAACCTGGAATGTGTGGTTGATAAAATTAGAGTTGTATGTAGATAATCTGAAACTGCCTTTGGGGCACTTTAAAAAAGAAAAAGCTCTTATGTGATTAATCTTTGAGTTTGATTCACAAATCATAAAGGTACACTTAGCCCAATGAGCTCACACACCATGCAGTTAACCTTCAATTCCTTTCTCCTCAGATAATGAGCACATTTATATGGAACTTGGCCAGAAGCTGTCGAAGTATTGTCCTAAAGAGTGGAAGAGAGAGGCCAGCAAAGTAAGTGTTTTTCAACGTAGCCGTTTTCTCAGCTGTGCTGGATAAGTGTAGTTATTCATGTGATTTAAACAGTGGGGATTTCTGAAATTTGCTGCTTTAAGGCAAAGGTGTTTTTCCTTTGGAACATACTATTCCAAATGCTAACCTGTATCTTTTGTATTGACAGGGTATTGACCAGTTTGGACCACCGATGATTGTCCATTTCAGGGCTCAATATTACGTGGAGAATGGCAGGTTAATAAGGTAAAGTGTGATCAAATGTTCCACATTTGCTTTAAAAGTCCATTTCAGTATTTGTCACATTATCTGAGTGACTTCCTGAAGCAGAAAGAAACTAAGGTTTGTTCGCCTCTTACTCATATCCTCAATTGCAGTGACCGGACTGCCCGGTACTATTACTACTGGCACCTGAGGAAACAGGTCCTGCTGTCTCAGTGTGTGCAGCGCGAGGAAGCCTACTTCCTGCTAGCGGCCTTCGCTCTGCAGGCAGACCTGGGGAACTTCAAACGCAACAAACACTTCGGAAAATACTTCGAGCCAGAAGCATACTTCCCTCCCTGGGTGAGTTGAGGGTCATCATTGCTCTTTGTTGAGTTGAGAGTGGAATTTCACTTGTTGCTCCCAGAAGCTAGTTCTCTCTTAATAGTGCAGTCCGTAATATGAAAAGCATGATCTGTCAAATTCTATCACCACCTATATTATTCCGAACGTTTAAAGGTTGAAATTAGCTTGCACATGATTTTACAACTTTATATGACTGTTTTCAGTGTCATTCTTAAGCAGGATTTTTAGACAGAGACAATTATGTTTAATCAGAGTAGCAGCTACATTTGTTTAAACTGTAATCTGTTCGGCTAGGGGTGTGCTGTGATACATCTAAGGGTCGTAAGAGCTGAGGAAATGTATTATTTCAAATAATCTTTTGGAAACTTGCAATCCTCCAGAATTACTTTTATGGTCTTAACTTCACATTGTGTAATCATAATTAAGTGAGAAACAACAGAAATTCCAGGATTCCAATCAGTCTTTTCTCTGGGGATTCTATGATCATAACTTGCTAATAATGGAAGATTCCCAGCCATCCCCTGTACTTAAATCTTCTTACAGTAATCACTTGAGTCTCTTGGAATCATCTTGGCAACCTTCATCAATAGGAATGTACAAAATGGCAGGAACCATGCTGCATGCTGTTTGTTTTTCTGAAAACCTTTTTACTCAGGTCTATGTCTGATTGCTGGTAGCTCAGATTTACCAGCAGTCATTACAGCGCTGTCCCACCCTTCTGATCGTCATGCTTTCCTGCATTTAGCTGAAGCCCGGTACAGGAAATGCTTTTGGAATCGCAAATTATTTTGCATGCCACTAGCAATTTTCCATTTTTTTACCCGGATATATTTAGAATCAGACTCATGCAGTGACAGTGTCATCTCTTTGGAATTGATATGGATTAATTTAGACTGAAATATACCTGCTTCACCCAGGATCCTGTGAAACTCCTTGCATTTTCTCTTGTTATACTGTGCTTGAATAAAATTGCTTATAAAAGTGAAATGTAAGTTGGAAATCTTAAAACCTACAAAAAGAGCCACCCAGCAGCTTGTATTTTTCCTGACTGTTCCCCAAATTCATTAGTCTGTTTTCTTAAGTCTCACCATCACATTGCGAAAGCTTTTCAGATTTAGCCAGTCAATGACCACAGCTGAGCAAAGCCGTAACAATCCGAGCTGTCGAAGATTTTTAAGCATCCTCGTACCCTGACGTGTTCCTGCTGCTGACTTTGTAGGTGATTGCCAAGAGGGGGAAGGATTACATTCTGAGGCACATCCCCAACATGCACAAGGACCAGTTCGCACTCACTGCCTCGGAGGCCCACCTCAAGTACATCAAAGAGTCTGCCCAGCTGGATGATGTGACCGTGCATTATTACCGACTGTACAAGGTCAGAGTCCCACTGGTTCTGGAGAAAGCAGCTGCAGGTTCTTTATGTTCTGAATGGAATCCTTGCTGATCTATTCCCACCCCCCCCACTGTGATTAAGCTGGCTGATGGTATAGACTGCCCCACACTATTAAATATTTGCTTCAGGTATAGGTTTCTGAAAAGCAAAGGATGTGAAATTCATGTGAGAGAAATTGAGTGTATTTTTTTTCTGGAAGAGGATTAGAATTAAAAGTTTTAATTAAAATGTATCAAGTTTTGTATCACAGTATTTGTTGTTAAAATACTGAATTAATTTAATTTATAAATAATTATGCACCCACAGCAGCCTAAGCTCAGTTTTTCCTCTATTAGGCAATTATACAGAATATTGTAGTATTTTTTACAGACCCATAGGGTTGTGTCTTAGAACCACCTGAAGAGACTGTCTTGAAGTGCAGAGACAAGAGCTTTCAGTCCTAACCCAGTGAAAAGCAGATTGGGACAACTCTTTCCCTTGATGCTGTCATAGCAGAAAATGTAGCGTTAATGAATGTAGAAATGTAGTGTTAAGGAAAGGTTTCCATTACAGAAATTATAATCATAGCTGTACAAACCGTATGATAAACATAAAGTTGCTTGAAGGTTTAATTCAGTTCCATTAGTGGTTATAATAACTGAATATTTTAAAGTTCTGCACATGTAAATGTCATTTCAAGCGGTTTCAAGTGGTACAAGAACTCAGATTTGACCCTGGTGTCTATGAAGCAAAGAATGTAAAAAATGCAGTTTTGAAATATTTACCCTTAATATTATACAGAACCATCTTAAATCCAAATCAGAGGGAGTATTTCAATTTTATGCGATTCATGATGATTCTGTGCAGTTTTCAGAAACTAAGCATTGTTGTACATGAATATGTGTATGCCTTGTGATCACTGAAAGCCTGCGTAGATGGCAGGCGCCAGAATGTTGAGGTTTCATCTCATAACAGTAGAAATCCGTTCTCTGAAGCAGATGTGAATCAAGTCTCCGTTTAAAAAGATGAAGCTATTTTTGCACCCTCCGTGATGCTTCTCTTGAAATTGATGAACGCAAAAGAAAATGAAAAGGTTTTTCGATTACAGATTAGAGTTTGGTTTTAGTGTTCATCTATACATATACTGTAACTGAAGAAAATTGTCTGTTTTAGACGTGTCACGGTGTGTGGTCTTGAATATCGGTATTGCTGGTTTAAATACAGTACTCCACGTACATCTGGACATTTCAGCAATGTACAACGTGCCTTCAGTAATGGTAGCTAAGGCTTTATTTAGTTTCCTAAAGGTCATGGCTTCAGCATTGTTCAACTGAAACATCCTAAGGAGTGCCAATCCTCTCTTTCCTCAGGACAAGAAAGAAATGGAGGGCTCCCTCACACTGGGACTGACCCTGCGTGGGATTCAGATCTTTCAGGTACAGGAAGCAAGTTTGTGTGGTTGCATTCATCTGCATGAGAAAGCATGCGTGCACAAAGATTTCAAAATGTTTCCCAGCGAACCAACTAAAATCTTAGAGTTTTGATTCCGACGCTTTTCAACATGAAATTTCCCTGTTAACAATACAGTGTCATTTCCGGTTGACCAATGGTGATAGAAAGGAAAGTGGTGTTTCAGAATAGAACTTTCTTCTGCTCAGTTTAATGGATGTGCCTGTAGTGATTTTTGCTTAACTTTTCAGAATGTGGGATCTGTGAGGCAACTCCTGTATGATTTTCCCTGGACAAATGTGGGGAAGCTGGTGTTTGTGGTGAGTTGAGACAATCCGTGGTAAAATAAATTTATTTGATAATTTGATATTTTATATATATTTTATTTGTTGCTTTTGTAGATACAATGCTATTAAATTTATGTCTTCTAAGTTGTGCCCCTCTTCTTTTTATTAGAAGAATCATCACAGTTAAACAGTTATTCAGTACAGTATATTCTTTTTTTTTTTTAGTCTCCGAAGTGGAATTGTGGCAGAGGTGTTTTTGACTTCTTTTGCCAATTGAAATCAAGAAGTATGAAAGCCAAGTTATAAATCTTTCCTGTCCACTGTACATTGCCAAATCCTCCTTTCATTTTCTAAAACAAATGACATTTCATAAGGAACTCTTAAAATGGCACTTTTACCAAACTCAGCACAGGAGGTGCCTTTTCTGTTGCAGTTATAAATCTCTTTCATAAATAAATTGATTAGACCTGAAAAGCTAACATGATTTTTGTCATGAGCATGGCCAGTAGCTGTTTATTTTAATAAAAGGAACTGTTCACTGTTACTTCTGTAACAGTATGCTGTTGTACTACACATGACAAGCCTTTAAGCAATCAAAGGCACTCAAACATCTGTCCTTGAGCAGGAATATGAGGAATATGTAACACAGAAAGTGAGATGAACATATCTTTATTCAAAGACTTTTTGTGTGGTGTTAGATTCTTTTAATTAATGCTTGTAAGATAGTCACACAGCAGGACTGTCCAATCCTAATCCTGAAGGGCTGGTGTATCATAGGTGTTCATTTCAGCTAGCTCTTAATGAGCTAAATCCGCTTGTTACTCACTTATTTGGACTAATTTATCAGTTTCTGTCAGTTCTTCGGATGCTGTTGCTTCAAACTGACCCAGAAATCCTGCAGGCACACTAGCTTTTCAGAACTGCGATTGAACAGTCTTGTCATACAGTATATCATTTTCCATGCAACATTGTGCATAAAGAATAAGATTGATTTGCTTTATAATACTGATTTGCTGGCTGGTGTCTTTCAACCTAGTAATTTTTTGATATCACACTACTACTAAGAAAAAAATATTAGATCTGACTTCAGTTGTCCTTCAGGTCTGACATTTTGCAGAGATGGACTTGTTCTCTGAAGATTTTACCAATACACTATAGTTACTTGTGGCTGTTCTTAAAAAGATAGTTTTGCGGTTGCCTTCAATGTGGCGGAAGCAACACTGTCAGATGCTGGCTCTTGTAGGATTTGTTAATGGATTCCTCCCTATAACACACATTAAAGTGTTTGAACACTGAACCACATTTTCAGTTTTAAATTCTTTGATGGGTGAATTTAGTCAAAGACCATTTTAAAATGTATTTCTTACCTTGTGTCTATTGGGTGAGGGGAGCCTAAGAATAGCATCCCACCCAGCACATGTGCTGTGGTGCCCCACCCTTACAGCAGTGCCAGAATCTCTGAGACTAAAGGAAACACCACAGGGAGCCAATGAGCACCGGATTCTGGATCTGATTATATAAACATAAGCCTGTTTAATATGCTTGGCTGATTGAGGTGAATCCCTTGAATGTGTCCAGCTGTCTTAGGAGCAGTGTGTTGTATGTCAGTCCCCCACTGTGCTGTGATGTGTTGTGTTGTGTGGTACAGACTAGTTGTGGAATCTGTGAGAAGACAGGGTGGAGTGAACAATCCAATCCTTCCAGTTTCTCTCCATGATGAACCACATTCCTGATATTTTCTGAGGTTCTACATTAATTAGTGAACCCCGAATTATATAACTGTATTTGACCTCAGAGAAGCAAATATTGGGCAAACAAATGTTATAAACTGGTTTCTATCTAACCTGTAGTTCTGTACAATGTTTTTACACAGTGACCATTTCTAATGAATTGGTCTCTGTAGCATCCATTTTCATGAGAAATGCAAAACCAAAAGGCCTAAAAAAACCAAAGACTTGATTTCCCATTCACACTTCTAACCACCCCAAATGCAATTATTATTCATCCCTTTAAAGAAAATCTGGAAGAATCTTAAACAGAATAGACGCTGAAAAGATAAGGTGATGACTTTTTTACTTATTGATGACAAAATCAGGATGGTGGATCAGTAAGTGAGAGGTTTCCTGATGCACATTGCAAAACTCTCACTCCATTTTAGCCCCTTGTCATAAAACAAGCCAGCTTCAGAGTGCTGCTGTTAGTTTATTCTGCATTAGTAGATTACTGGGCTTACTGGAAACCCTCTTCTTTATTCCTGGGTTTCCTGCTCCAGACTGCAGAGTCCCTTTTGTTTTTTGCCAGATTTCAGCATTACAGTCAATTCTCACATATGTTTGGCTGGATTTAGCATCTTTGAATTTTAAAAGGCTGGATTATCTATTTTACATTTCCGTGTATTTGTCGTGTCTCTCATTTTCATGTGTGACACTAAAGCTGACTGGCAGGCCTCAGAATGTTAGGCTTTCCTTTCAGCATATGGAACCTGACTCTATTAGACAAATGTTAAATTAGGATGTTATTAAATCTGCCTTCCCCAGTGGACTCTCTGAGACAGGAACCCTCTGACAGGAGTCACATCTGTGCACCTAAGAAAAATAAAAATTAAAACTCTAACCAGCACATTGTTAGATGCTTGATGATACAAACATGCTGTGCATTGGTCTGTATTTCTTGGTTCTTTTACTCGCCACCAGGTGGTAGCAAATATTAAGATTTTTTTTCCCCTGTGGTCTGGAGTTTGTTTGATTTGGCCTGTGCCTGTTACATTCTTTTAATACAAAAAGACTGCAATGAACGACAGTGAAGGTTTTAGAGCCTTTGTTCCTCTAATTCATTTCAAATCTGTCATTAACCATCCCATTGCTTAGTAAAATGAAGGCTCTGTGATTTTGTTACACCATTGAACCCCCTGTTTGTTCTTAACTTACAGGGTAAGAAGTTTGAGATTCTCCCAGACGGCCTTCCTTCGGCTCGGAAGTTGATTTACTACACTGGCTGCCCCATGAGATCCCGGCATCTGCTGCAGCTGCTCAGCAACAGCCACCGGCTCTACATGAACCTGCAGCCTGTGGTCAGACAGGTCCGCCGGCTGGAGGAGAACGAAGGTACCCGCCTGTCCGCGTGTGATGGCGAGACTGAGATTTAAATTAGCAAAACATAGCTTCACCAACGTACGTGAACAATTGAGATCTACCAACTTCACCTCTTTTTTATTTTTGTAGCAGGAGAGATCATTTTAGTGTGTGGCCTTTAAATAATTTAGACAGGTCTTTTTAAATAGCTGGCCTGTTTTTTTAGCCACATTATTAAGGTCAAGTTGTTTTTGCAAGCCTACCTTCCAGCCTTTGAGATCCTTGTTCACTATAGCGATGGACTCCATAGTCAATAAATGGGAGGATGGACTCAAAGCCAAAATCATGATGACTGATTCTGTGGGAACCTTAAACATCCAGTTTAAATGTAAGGATGAGAGCTTCTTTGCAGCCAGTTGGGAGAGTGCAGTGTCTAAGCCTGTTGTGGCGCCCTCTCCTGGCAGAGAAGAAGCAGTACCGTGAGTCTTACATCAGCGATGCCCTGGAGCTGGACATCGAGCAGCTGGACAAGCGCTCCCGTGCGAGTGGCAGCAGTGCGGGCAGCAGCTCTCGCCACAAGCGCCTCTCCCGCCACTCCACCGCCAGCCACGGCAGCTCGCACACCTCGGGCATCGAGACGGACAGCTTCCGCACCACCTGTCAGGCCCCCCACCGCCCGCTGCGCACCTGCAGCAGCTCCACCGCCAGCCACGGGAGCTCGCACACCTCCGGAGTGGAGAGCGGGGGCAAGGAACGCCTTCTCGACGATGACGGTAACTGCTCCCTTCTCGTGCTCCTGGAAAGTCAGCTGCGCACTCTCCCTTTGCTCCCCCTCCTTTAATTCTTGTTTCTTATTAAATAGACATCCCATCATGCCTCTAATTTGTAAATGTCAAGTCATGAGTAGTGCCTGTCTGCTGTCTTAGAGAAGGGGAAGCGATCATGGTACCCAGTCTGCGTGTGTGATTCAGTGTGTATCCCTTGGGTCATATAGATACTGTATAACCTGTCTCTAATCTTCTCAGAGATTGAGATGCTGGTTGATGATCCAAAGGATTATGAAGAGCTTCATGAACTAGCCTTAGATGTCAACCAAGACTTGTGTATCCACATCACTGAGGACATGCTCAGTTCTGGACAGACCAATGGCTACTCAGGTAATTGAATTAAGACTTTCTGACTTGCCAGTACTGGAACGTTGTATCTCATGCTTTTTTTCCATGTATGGAAATTAAGTTCATTTGAAAAGGGGTTGACAGATGGAACCTGAAGATGGGGTTACCTTTCCTTGTGAATGGAGTGAATTTCCAGTCTGGATTTCCTAACTCTTAAATAGATAGATAAGACTTTGTTGGTACTGACGGGAAATTGATGTTTTACAGCAGTAACACCTTAACAGCCAGATCTCCCAGCTGCCTTTTGTATCTAAATCTTTACTTCACTGTTGCAGGGCTAATTGTAAAGGACATCAGCTCATCCACATCCAGCTCATCAGAGACTGTTGTGAAGCTGCGTGGACAGAGCATAGAGTCTCTTCCACAGGTATGTCACACATTGCGCAGCACACATAAAATATATTTTAATACACTGCTTCTGCCTTCACTTTAAAAGGCACTGATCTGTTAACCTTTCTAGAAACCAAAAAAATTGGGATAAAAATGAAATAGTGATTACTGCAAAGCAGCATTCAGAAGATATTTTTTTTTGTCCAAGTACTTAAATTTCAGACTCTCTCTCCTATATTTCATTGGGCTGAAATAACATTGCGTCTGCTGAGAGTGACATCAAACACCACCATTGTGTTACAAGAAGTCATTTTTATAATCTTTCTTGAGTACATTTAGATCACTTTAAGAAAAGTATAGCTGCAGTAGTTATTGCCCAGGTAAGTATATGAATAAATCGGTATAGTTATGTATACTAAACAGCAGTGTGAGCAGAATGATCTTGTTTATAGAACATCTTCAGATACTGTACTTCTTAGAACCATGAAATGTAACTCCAAGATCACTTGGGATTACTTGGAAAGTGTTCCTGTTTTCTTGCAGACTGTGTGCAGGAAGCCCCGGACATCCACAGATCGCCACAGCCAGTCTCTGGATGACATCCGTCTCTACCACAAGGGCTGCTTGCAGTGGGCAGAGCTCTGCCAAGACACTGCCCAGAGCTACACTTTTGGCTGTGCCCAAGAGCTGAGCGATGCGGGCTATCATGGCCTGGTAGATCAGTGCGCTGGCATTAAAGACAACCCTGCCTTCCCCATCAAGAGAACCAGCAAGTACTTCTCTCTGGACCTGACAAGCGATGAGATACCAGAGTTTGTCGTCTGACTGCGGAGAGATCACACCCTGAGCCCTGAGTGTGTGGAGGAAAGGAGCTGAGGAATAAAATGACCTTAACATCAGGAAGCGCAGAGAACCAGGACAGGTGTTGCACAGAAGAACAAAAATTCCATACCGGCATTTTTTCAAGGACTGACCTCCCATGTGAGGGAGATACTAATAAAATGGATCAAGACTCATTTATTAAGAGGTGTTTACCAAAAGCATGGATTAAAAAGGACATGAAGTGCTGGATGAACTTGTGCATAAGCATAAACTCTCCATGATATATTTTTGCTATTTTTAAAGAGACACACTCCTGTGCTTTGCTGGGTGATGTGGAGCTTTGAAATGACTTTTTGTGGGAGATAATTTATGGATGGCTTAACTTATATAGAGCCTACATTGCAGATAAGAGTAAAACACAAGGAAAAGGGAATGACTAGTGCTGTTTTGCTTGGTTATAAGACAGTTGTGAAGAATCCAGGAGGAAATGTTTCTCATCTGGACTCAAGTTAAGCCCAAACTCTTTCTTATGTAACCATGGAACAGCATGATAACTTTGGGATGTTTTACTTTTCTATATAGGAAAATGGTACTGCATTTAGGCCGACAGGTGAACTTTTGCTCAAAAGTCAAACCCTGAAGCTGCCTTCCTTGTCCCACTCTTCTCAGCTTGTATGGTGGGGCTACGATATCTAAATAAATTCTACTGACTGCAGTTCAGAATTGTCTGCATTAGTGAATTGACGTTTGTGCTTTGGAAATTGAAGGGAAATGCAATGACAGATGTCTGTGTTGGATGTAATCTGAGCTCCCTGGTGGAATGTCACAAGCCAAGACACCTGCTCTGCTACTCCAAACAAAATGTTGTGCATTCTTGTGCATTGTTCAAGCTATGCAGATCTGCACCTCGAGAACACCAATGTGGAAGAAAACCATGGCAACTGGCATCATAAGCCCTCCTTTCACATCTGAACTGTGCAATCCAATTGAAAACATGTGAGGGCAGCCTCAGCTCACACTCAATGAACTAGCTGCTCTGCCTGCTAGGAACCAAAGAAAGGCTTCACTCAAGCCAAAGAACTGTTAAACGTAAACATAAAAGAAGTACAGATAAGAGTTAGCCGCTTGGTGTGCTGTGCTCCCCTGGTTGTTAAACTTATCCGTGCATGGTATAGTTTCTGCAGCATTATATGATCAACTATGAAGCATAAAGCATAAAGTGACTGTGGTGTCTGTGTTCTAGTGCTAGCTGTATTTCTTTAAGTCTTGGAGAGTACTCTGGTGTAATCGGTACACATACAACTGCTGACTGGACTGCTCTGCCTGGTGATAGAATGGAATGCTGAAGAAGTGATATTCCTAACCCAGCATCCCCAGTCCACTCACCTTGCTGCTGCTCTGGTACTGTTCTTGAAGTTTGGCTTGCCCAAGTAAATCTTTGCACTTTACCCAGCAAGTGCAATGTGCCAATATTCACCACACACAGCAAATCCCATCTGTACTTCCCAGTAACTGCCAGAAACGCCTAATCCGTGCCTTTTTATGCTATGCAGGTCCTAAAACCTTAAGTTTGCCTCGACAATCACATCCTAAGACAGGGAAATCTCATCAAGGAGCAAAACCACTCTATGCGGTGAGCTCTATGAGGTTGCGGATATCTACATGTTTTTTTACCTTGGATGAAATTGCTGTGTTTTCATTTTCCCCCTTTGTAAATCAGTAAATAACCTTAGTTATTATATAGGTAAATATTAATTATGATTTGGAGATCACATAAAGTTACACAGTCTGCTTCTTGAGGTAATATCTAGGTCTCAGTGCAGTAAGGATGATGATGTGCTTAACAACTTTCCAGGACACAAGTAACACAAGCCTAGACTATCTGCACCAAACCTTGTTAACAATAGTGCCTAAAGGAAGAGGTATAGAAAATACCATCTCTCTCTAACAATACAGTAGTGTAAGACAAGTTTTACTTTCTACACTTTATTCAGTGCACAGCCCTGTACACTATTTTGAGTTAGACAGCAGTTTGTCTCTTCTTTAAGTATGTATTATGATTTGAATGCACTTCATTGTACACAGGTTTGCAGGTTAATACTGGCAAATCTTGGAAACTATAAGCAAAATGGAATGGGTGTTTAGTTAAAGACAGACCAGTTTAGTTTGGATCATTAAAACAGTTACCTACAGTACACTTTATCTGAAGCCATGTTCAGGAAATCTTGCTGCATTTTACAGAACTCATAAAAGCTTTTTTTGTTTATTCCAAATTGATTTTTCATTAAATAAATGTAACTATAAACTTTAGTATTTTTGTATGAAACATATAGAAACAAAACAATTATATATATATTTGAAAGTGCATCTTTTTTCTTTATTATGTGCTGTATGAGTTGTCAGTATTATTATGTAGGTGACAGTATTAAGACTTTTGTAAACTTAACCTTGATCTAAGGTGCCACCCTCATTTATATGGTGGGTGTCAGGAAAATTTAATTTTACAGCTTAAAGGGGCCCCTCCAAAATATGTTACTCAGAGGAAAAGCTCTTGAGTTTTACTGGATTCAGATTTTAGGGGCATCTGTCCTTGACCACTTGTCCTTTCACCTTTCACATCACCAGTAGACCTGTTCTTGATGCACAACAGTTCACATATGGCAGACTTTCCTACCGGTGACGTGAAACATGAAAAATATTTTATAATGTCAGCATATTAAATGACCAAAGGGCCACAGCAACAGAAGAAACAGCTCCAAAAATTGCATTTGATTTGGAAAAGATGAAAGCACAGAACACACAGATGAAGTTTGTCAGATCTAAGGGATTCCACGTGCATTACATCCATCTGGAACAAATGATTTGGGAGCGTCTCTTTTGTTTCGTCTTGTTTCCCGTTTTCCGAACGGATTGCCTTTTTGAAGGATGATTAATCAACAAAACTAACTCTTATTTATTCATTTTCATATACAGTACATCTAGCAAGTTAAATGTTCCACTTGTAAAGTAGAGTTGTTTTCTTTCATTGCGTTCCAAATTGGAATGCAGTGCTTGCATTTTGCATTAGGGAGGGATTAGAATTCACAGCACACCTGTGGAGTTCATAGATCTCGATTAACTGGCAGGCATCACTAACCTACCATATCTGATTACAGTGTTGCTAGTTTACATGTGGCCAAGAGCATATAATGAGTTTAAACAGTTTTAGTAAAATACCTTAGTGGAACTTTTCTAAAAGAATCTTTTTTTTACCTATCAACTATTGAGGAAGAGAACTGTTTCAAATTGTGGGTCACATCAGGTGTGGTTGCTGACATAAGCAGAGGAGGGGACCTGAGAGAGTGTGGTCTGTGCCTGACTACAACAACCTTGATAGATCTTCAGCAATACACACAATATTACAATACAGATTTGTAAAATGCCATTTTCAACACTTAGAAACTAACATTTTCTAGTGTAGAAAATGTCAAAATGTGTTTGAGAGATGTATATCCCAGTAGAATGTTTTTCCCTTTATAATTTTCCTTATTGTCTTTCTTAAATGTGAAGGTATCAGATAAACTTTGAAACATCCTGATCGTGTCTCAGCATTGACTTAAACCTCTCTTTTACAGTCAGTTATTTGTTTTCATTCTAAAAAAGTGAAAGCTATCGGTAATTTATTAAAGCCACAGATTGCAACAACCAGCGTAATTCTGAAAATAGATATTTTGCCTGAATTTCCTATTGCTAGTCTGTATACCTGCACAAAGTGTAAATAGTCCTTTCTGTGAAAGGATCTCCCGTCAGGAACTTTGAAAGTGAATTCCTGTTGTGAAACCCAGTCGTGAAACTCTTTTTGTAAAAACAATGAAGTCCAATGTGTGCCTTTTAGGTACAGATGTTCTGAACAATTGACAATAAAGGGTACATTTATTTGCCTGAGCCAACTATTTGTCTTTGGAGTTATTCCACACAGGTGTCTTGTGTCATTTTTCGATTTAATGTTGTCTGTTCCATTATAAAAGAACCTTGAGAGGAATTTTTAAAGAAAGTCCTATCCAAATATGACTTAACCTTACTTTTTTACAATACAATTTTCATAGTTTGCTGCTTGCTTGCAGATGTCTAGTATATCCCCGTGTTTTATTTTTAACTTTTGGAATAGCTGCTTTGCAGTTATCTGTCCTTTTGTTCCTTTGCCATTATTGCACTAAAACGTTTGGCTTACCTGTTTTCCATTTTTTTTCAGTTCCTGAGGAACTTAAAAAGTGCTCTGAAACTTTGAAAAGTGAAAGTATTTTAGCTCAGGATCAGTTTCGTTGTTCAGAGAGTTACTATAGGTGTCTTAGGCTCTCACTATGGACATCTAGTGACAGAATAGGTACAATTGAAAGTGAGGATGGGAAGGAATGTAGTGCCACCTGCTGTACATTAGTATAATAATAGGAAATGTTATGAGCTGCATGGATTTCTCTCATTTAAGACATTTGTTTTCTTTCATTTGCTTTTTAGCCATGAAACCCACATACCTTTTATCTTTTATTTCTCACTGTTGTCTTGTCTTGTCTCCCTTGAAAAACTGACTTTTAAAAGAGCCTCTTCTCACTATTGCACTAATTTAGCAATTAAAAAGGATTGCTGGGTTATAAAAACACCTGCATACACACAACCTCTTAGTACTTGGCACTCCACATAGAAATTACATGCTCATATTTGCTGAAATAAAAATAACGTTTTCTCCAATATGTGCATTACGATCTCTTTCAAGTACCCTGTGGTTTTTTTTCCTTAATGGAAAAGCATATCAGCACAGGGCCAGCCAAAGGCCTGTTCTTAATTGTGGAAAACAGCTGAGGAAGGGTGGGGTCTTCTCCAGCTGTTACAGATGTGCTGTACAGGGAACAGGGAGGCCTGCCAACACCTTAATACACTCAGGGCCGCAGAAGATTACAAATAAGAAGCATGAATATCCAGTTTAACCCACTACAGAGGAAAAGGAGAGAGTTATATTCTTGTCTGTGAAAGGTGGCAGACAAAAAATATTTCTTGTAATTCCAGTAATATGAGATCTATTCTACTGTAATCTGGTATCTATTCTGCTGTAAATAAGCATGTTCTAGTTATATTTAGTGCATATGCGGTATATCAAACCAGGGTAGCACGGTGGCCCAATAGTTAACATTGCTGGGACCCTGGTTTCAATTTTGGATCTGCATGGAGTTGGTACAGGATGTTCTCCTCATATTCATGTGGTGCTCCAGTTCCTCCCACAGTCCAAAGACAGGCTGGTAGGTTAGTTGGCTCCAGAGAAATCTATTGCTGATGTGAGTGAGTGTGGGTCTGTGTCTGTGTGTCCTATGTGATAGATACACTGGCGTCCTGTTCAGGGTGTACCTCTCCTTACACCATAGGCTCCGGCTCCCCCACAACACTGAATAGGTTGAAGCAGTTAAGTAGAAACTTAAACGCAAAATGACTTACCCATTATAAACATCTAAATTAGCTTTTCATACAGGGTGCTTATAGAAGACAAAGAAGGCCCTCAGGGGTAGGTCCTAGCCTTATGGGAATTTCTTGCGCAGACTAAGGCTGAATACTGGAACAGAGGAAACTTCATAGAAATTTTGAAAGGGAGCAGGAATTACCACCTTGTAGCCAGATCCCACTAGAGAAACGAAGCCAGGTTGGGCCTAGTCTACTGGGATGAGCACTTCAAGAAATCAAGATCACTGCCGCACGTCATGTAGATTGACCACTAGGAGGCACTGTTCCCTCTGGCCTAAATGCTGCAATATGAATATGAACTTTCTGTGAAGGATATGCCTTTCTTTAGCTGAGATATTAATCTGAGGTTTTGACTTAAAACTCCCACATTGGTTTTCAGAATTATAGGGTTATTAACACCAATGTCCTGGCTAAATTTAACTCGGGTTTGTACAATCCAGTTGCTGAAGCATTTTTTATAGAGGAAAATTCATGCACATGTTTCAATTAGCAATAAATAGGTGGCTGAATGATTTGCCCACTGAAAAAGTCTCATTTTGCTTTATAAAACAATGCTTTTGTGTGTAGTTGTTTTGCCATGACAATGTGAAGAGCATAACTGCTTATCCCTCTCACTATGCCCCTGCCTGTCTGTTGAAGAGGCTTACACAGGAAACACGGTAATGTAGAGTCATAAAGCACAGGTACAGAAAACCTGTACCCTCTAGTTTCCTGTGTGTGGGAGGACAAACACACTTTTAGCTGTTGCTTTATTTAAAAACCACCACTATGTACTGTATATTTCAAATGAATCTGGTAGACTGATGGTTTCCTAAATCAGGGTTATAACTATAAATATAAATAATTTGACAAATTTGTTTCAGTCTGTCTTTGTGTAATCGGCTCTAAGTTAACAAGCTCTCCTCTGTCCCCACCCACTCTAATTATGAGTAGCCTCACTGCCTCAAAGCAGTTGAGCTCCTGATGGTTCGCTTACGTCTGGCAGACCACTAAGGAAGATATGCTACTGGAAGTCAAACTGCTGGAACAGTAGGTGGCACATTCTCCTCTGGAGCTGAAACCCAAACCAGTGCAATGAGATAATTCTTTATTGGTGGGAATGTTATGAGAGAACCCAGTTGTGTGCTGCAATATTTTTGTTTTGTGAGACTTCATCGTCAGTGATATGGCCAGATTCAGTGTACACTGCAACACCAGCCAGTCTATATTCCATCTGTCTTGTGGCTGTTTCTTATCCAGTTATAGGTGCACAATGATTGTTTCTTTACACCCCAGAATTCACTGCTGCCTAGAGAAGGACTGCTGCTGTAGCATTTTTGAGAAGCACTGAAAGCTCCTACTACTTTTATTTTATCAATTGTGTTGTAGTTGTGCAACTACACTCTACTGCACTCCTCTACTGCCTACTCTCTCCTCTCGTCATCACAATTATAGAGGGACTGTGAAAAAACCCAAGTACAGTATGGAGAGGTAAAGTATGAGTAAAAAATTTTTCTTTGTTAAAGTCTGGGAATAAATCATCTCAATTGGTGTGTATTCGACTGTTATACTGTAAGCACCATTCATTTGTTTTGTTAACTTGATGTGAAATGTAGTTTCAGTTTTTTGGGTAAGAGCAAAAATTGGACAGTACTGTTACACTCTGAACTGCTGTGCAACTGCTCTTCTCTACATCATATTACAGTCCAATATCATCCTTCTTTGTGAATTCTCTTGAAGATATTAATGAGAAAAATGCTCAAAACCTAAAATTCAATTGGATATGTTGCAGGCACCAGAATTTGAACAAGATTTGCATGGTTAGGCCCAGTTCTCAGTAATTGAGGTGTACAGCCATCCAATTGAATAAAACAGTAATAATGTTTAATTATCTTTCAATACTGCAACTGAGATGAGATATAAATGCAGTAATATAAACAGTTGTACCAATGATATAGTCTGAGCATGTTTTTGCAGGCATCTTCTTACACTGTGTTTGGCAAAGTGCACAGGGAGTGGTATAAAGACAGTAGCATTTAGGTTGGACATTAGTAAGCCCATCACAGGCTAGCTGTTGTGCATGTGGTGTTCCATCAGGAAAGCAGACATTTAATTGGACCATCAGTAAGCTTATCATGGGCCAGTTTTACAATCTATCAGAGGTAAGGATGAATAAAGATTTTGCAAACGTTTTCATCTTCTCTCTCCGCCTTTCTCACGCCACCCATGCACAAACCCTTCACAATCTCATTGCAGAAAAGAACATTAAGCTTTACTGCGATTCACTTTGTCTTTCTCTGTCAATCTCCAAGGAATATTTTTGCCATTCACTTTGCTCATGTTTTTTCAAAACAAATTGTGACAATTTGTGTAAGTGGAAAATGTGTGCTGTAATGAGCATTTAAAGGCATTGTTAGCCTGCAGCATGAAGGCCAAAATTAACTTCAGGTCTTTAGTAAATTCAAAGGTTTGGAAGACACTGTTACAATTACAATATTGCATATTGAACTTATTGCATATTATGCAAGACAAAACAAAATACAATCAAAGCAACTGGACTGTAGATGAAATTATATTAAGAAGGAAGGTGAGCTTAGAATTTCCTGTGAGTCTCCACCTCTCTCTATACAAGTAGCTTGTTCCTGCACTGCTCTCTCATAATCACCCAGTCTCCCCATTATACACACACAGACCTGTACACACGCACCCAAAGACTCTCCCTCTCTTTTCCTCCTTTCCTTCCAGCTATGCTTCTGCACAGGAAATCAGTCATTTACTATCACGGTCACCATGGCAACAACAAAAAGGGAAATCCATTTTATCACAATCCACTCTCTCTCTTCCTGGAAACAAAACAGAAGATCTTAAGGTCTATAACTTGACCTGATTTTTACATATTACCTGTATCCAGCATATTTGCTTAAAACGTGTAAACATTTATATGCTTACACACTCAGTTGTTCATTCATAGCTTATGTTTGTCTTCCTGTGTTCTTCGTGTTCTTCTATTATCATTTATTAAGTAGACATGCCAGTTACAAAGGCACCAGAAGAAAAAATATATTCTCAGCTTGCCTTTTTGCCTGATGTGAATCCATCTTACAGTAAATTACATCTGCCAACCACAGATATACAAAGGAATAGATTATTTCACTGACCTTCACTGACAAAACACCATAAAAGAAATGCAAGATTCTTTAGTAAAACACATTTAATCACATGAGTGTGGGTTGATGGGTGTAGTCTCTTAATTTAGATTCCGAAGTACAGAATCTAAAGTATTGTTACGGCCCAAGGACTGAATTTGAGCTATTTTCGCCATCTGCCATCAAACTTTTTGCCAAGCCCACCGTCAGGGCCTGTCTGCCTCTGAGCTTTGATTTCGATGCGTCTCAATCCCACTGTGCTCTTGAAGGGGAGGGGTACGCAGTCCAGGTCCGTGCACCTGCTGGTTTTCATTCCAACCGGGCTTAATTACATAATTGATTCAACTGAACTAAAGCTGCCTGAAAGGAATATCACCATGTTTTTATTTCCTGCTCAGGAAGTCTGGGCTTTAATTTGACTTATGAACTGCAAAGGGCAATCTGCAATTTATTTTAGAGCTGAAAACAGACAAATAGTTTGAATGAATCAAGTCATTAAAACATTGAAGGGTTGTATAACAGAGCTTGACTGGAACAAAACCAGAAAGTGTGTACTGTACTGGGAACCTGTACTGTACTGGGAACCTGTACTGGGAACCCTTGTCATAGGGGACACATTTATATTGCCCTTCCAACTCCTCCCAAGGCGACAAGGTGTGAGGAATGAACTCTTCATGTCTGGCACAAAGAAAGCAATGGTTCGAATGGAGATTGACACTTACCACATTAAGAGACATGCATACAAAATGGTCTGAGGAGAACAGCAGGTATGCTCTGCTTCCTTGATTAGGAAACTGCTTTACATTTGCCAAAATGTCCGAATCGTCTCCTGCAATGCAAACCTAACAACCAGTTTGCCAAGTCCCCTTTTTTATTTTCAAAACCCGAAAATACTATTTTATATTTTGTTGTTATTTAGAGTGAGGAAGGGGCCTTTTAAAATTTTGGGAAGATTTTCTCCGTTCCATGTGCTGATTAAGTCTATAACCCACTGAAGCTTAGCAGGTGTGAGCCTGGTCAGTACCTGGATGGGAGACCTCCTGGGAAAAACTAAGGTTGCTGCTGGAAGAGGTGTTAGTGGGGCCAGCAGGGGGCGCTCACCCTGTGGTCCATGTGGGTCCTAATGCCCCAGTATAGTGATGGGGACACTATACTGTAAACAGGCGCCGTCCTTCGGATGAGACGTAAAACCGAGGTCCTGACTCTCTGTGGTCATTAAAAATCCCAGGGCGCTTCTCGAAAAGAGTAGGGGTGTAACCCCGGTGTCCTGGCCAAATTTCCAATTGGCCCTTACTAATCATGGCCTCCTAATAATCCCCCTCTATGAATTGGCTACATTACTCTGCTCTCCTCCCCACTGATAGCTGATGTGTGGTGAGCGTTCTGGAGCACCATGGCTTCCGTTGATCATCCAGGTGGATGCTGCACATTGGTGGTGGTGGAGGGGAGTCCCCATTACCTGTAAAGCGCTTTGAGTGGAGTCCAGAAAAGCGCTATATAAGTGTAAGCAATTATTATTATTATTATTAATTATAAGGCAGGTAATGTATTGTTCTGTTTGTTCCTGAAATGCCTCCATTTTTCCATAATTTTTGTTTTAAATTATAATATATGTATTGTGACTTTCTTTGTCATAGATTTTGTCAAACACTGTTACCAACTTTTATCTAAAGTGCATTTTTGTGGCTTCTTTGCAGTTTTTTCCAGTCCTTGTCAATGAATTCCAGGGGGCATACCTAATATTTTATGCTTCACACTGCATAAAAGAGCTTTGTTAAACTACATTGCTTTTTAAATGTATTTTGTAGTTTAGGAGACCAAAATGATTTTTTAAATCAAATCTGACCCGTTGGTCTGGTTTAAGTTTCAATTTCTGGTCTTTACATGACATCACACAGCTTTGCCACCATTTCTGCACCTATCCATTTTAGGAATAAATGCACAGTTTTTGTATTTTTAACAGTCTCAGAAAGCTTGCCCGTGCTGGTCTCCTGCGCCTCACGTTTTAAGGGATCACTTCACTGTTGGGTAATTGTATGGAACAGATGTCAAATGTGTAGATGGATTATATCCAAGACTGAAAACATATTCTGCTGTTCAGGGGCCACATCTTCTAAGTGATTGGTCGCAAGCATTCTAGTGGTAATATTTACATGTTCTTTAAAATGCATCTTATTCTTTCACATTAGGGCAAGAATAAGGAGGATTACACAAATGTTAACTTAGTCATGAGTTGTCTAGAATGCCAAACCTTTCCCCTTCCAATTTCCTTCCAACCCAGCCAAACCATTGTCCCACTTTGCCCCCTAGAAGGGGCGAGGGTATATGCTACAGTAGTAATTGTTTTGCTATCATTGCTTGTCTGTTACAGCTTCCCTGTAGGTGGAGCAAAGACAGTGCCTCAGTGACTCAGAGCTCTCTACCAACTTCCTTTAAAGTACTCAGGAAGAAATTAAGCAGCAGAGTAAAAAAAATAAGACTCATGATGCAAAATAATGATGAACAAAAACATCACCAACATAACAGGGATTTTGTTTCAGTTGTTTTCAGAAAAAAAGGAGACCTGAGAATGTCAAATACTCAAACATGAAAACACTTTTTTTAACAGTGGCATGATATATGGAAGAATATAACATATCAACACGCCTCTACTCTTTCAGCTTCAATTATTGCATCTGTGATAGATATTGCAATCCAGCTGCTTTATAAACTGTAAATCTAAAAATGCGTAGAATAAATTCACATTTATCTTAGCTTTTTACCTCTAGTTTTGAAAACGCAATGGGTGCAAATGAATGCTGCAAATTTTGTTTGAGGTCCTTGATCCCTCAAAACACCTTCATCCTGTACATTTGTCTTTACTAGACTGTGTTATTGTGTTAACTATGTTTCCCGATAAAAAACAGTTTAAAATGGTCAGTATTTGCATCTAAAATCCCACAAAATCCACCCTGCGCCTCCCCCTTGATTCTCATCCACATTCGTTTTCCCAGTCTCTGAAACTCCAGGAATATCTGCATTTTCTGTTTTGCAGCTTCAAAATTTGCAACACATGCACATCTCACATAGTACCTTATCCTGTGAGATCACCTGCACAAGAAAATCGCACAAATGAATAGAATTTTGAATTTGAATTACAATTATTGTGCAGGCTGATGCTTGGAAATGTAACTACTGTCAGGAAAATTGTAGTGATTCTGCAGTTGTGCAATAATTTGTTCACTTATATTTGACTTCTGTGGTGTGCCTTGAACAGAGCGACAAATAACCATAGTGATGGTATTCCTGCTGGAACTTCTTGTCTTATTTAATCTTCTGCGGCTTTAATATAGTGGCCTAAAGATTAAAGCTTTTGATTACTGCAGCTCAGCTCAGAGAGTGCGCTGAGTGAGAGACAGAATACAGCTGAGATCTCTACAGCCAGGGGCAGTCGGAGAGGAGTTGGAATTACTATAGGCTGGTACCCCAGACTTATTCAGTACCCATGGTATTTCAAGAAATAGCGAGTTTAGAGGTTTGGTAGTCCTTTAATGTGTTACATGGGCTGCACTGAAAGTGGAGGGTGAGGGGAAAAGACTGATGATCCGAAAAAAAATATATTTTTCCAGAGATGATCATTCCCATCTTCCCAGTTGCGAGCAGCAAGGAGGATGTGGCAAGGAGCACGCTAATCTGAGATTTAAGATCTGACAGATGCCGGGATTCGTGGTAGGGCTGAAAGGAAAAATTAAAGAGAGCAAGAAAATTTCTCTCTGGCTCTAAATACTATAACTGTTCAAGCTCCTCGCATGGGCTGACAGGGAAGGAAAAACAAAAAAGGTTGTTGGCAGACTCTGTGTGAAGCTAGCCTCTGCTTCTGCAGACAGAGTGGAAGCAGGGTGTGGAGTGAGGCAGAGCTGAGTACAGCAGAAGTGAACTGAAAACGAGGGGAGGGGAGAAGAGGGAGGAAGTGGGCTTCGAGCAGCTTCCTGTAGCCTGAACGTTGCTAGCTGAATCAAGAAGCAGGCTGGGTGGAGACTGTGTGCTGGAGCTGCTGTCAGCTGGAGCAGTGGCAAGGAGTAAGTGCCTTGTGTGTGCGCGCGCGTGTGTGTGTGTCAGGGAGTGTGTGGCTTACTCCAGGAGACAGTATCTGAGAAAACCAGCCCAGGCAAATCCACATAAGCACAGGAGAAAGGAGGTAAGTGAGAAACCTTATTTTTTACAGCCGTCCACCAACCCTTCTCTCTCATTTTTGTAGAAAAAAAATTGGTTTTAAGAAGAGCGCTTCATTAAAACAGAGGGCTTTAGCACCACTAGTCTCTTTCTGTACAGTCATCAGTTTGTCTGGTATCAAATTCAGAGTGCAATGGCTGAAGTGATGCTGCTGCCTGTGTATGTAATATTAAACGGAATCCCCCATTAGTTTTAGTGTAAGCTATCTAAAAATCACTTTCCTTGTGTATGAAAGTGTATATTTTCTCTGTCCCTTTTGGGTTTCAGATATTATTTCCTCACTGTGCTTTATATTATTGTTGCTTTTCTCTCAGCAGTATTTTGTTCTATACTACCTCTACTGCCGTGTAGAGAGAAGGCTGTGTTATAGATGGGGCTTCTACAGTATGTCATTGTACATTAGTGTATATGGGAGGATAGCCTATAGGACACATATGAAACCTTGGATGAACAGCTACAGTACACTAGGCTCTTTCCAACATCTTTACCATTCTTACCGGAACAAAATGAGCTCTAGTGGGAACTGTAGTAAGCTACTAACCCACAGTATAAAACAGAACAAGGAAAATGAATTGCCCAGCTGGAGCCTGGTGGGTTTTAGCATGTAATTTGGAGCGTAAGGAATTAGCAGCATCTGTTCCTGTAGAATTTGCATGAATGAAAGATGGGAGAGGCTTTGAGAAAGGCAGAAAGATGCCCGAGAAAGAACAGGAACATCCAAGAGGATTCCCCTGGAATCCCTGGAGTCTCTTTTCTTCCCAGGGAAATTTGAAATGATCATATTGTTTGACAATGTCCCCAGTTAGGCAATTTGGCAACAATTAATGTATGATTTATTCTTTTTAATGATCAGTTTTTAGCATACAGTTTTGTTGTATAGCATATGTTTACACTGTTTACACATGTACACTATCAATGAGAAGGAATATACTGTAATTTTGTGTCTTGCACTTTTTCAAACGTACAAATGCTCTTTTCATTTAGACTTCCTTCTTGGCTTAAAAAGCTTCAGTATTGTACATGGAAAAAGACTGTAATGTACAAAGTGTTTATTAATTCTGACAGGATTTCTTCACTGTCACAAATATCCGATGATGTACAGTAGCTGTCCAAAATTAACATGGGATTTTAGATTCAGTGCTCTACAAAATGTCAACACCGCCAGAGATCTGTCTACTTCAGCGTGCTTTACTCAGCAGATAACATACAGAGAATATGGGTGTGTGCCACCGTTTCAGAACGATGATCTGGAGCTGGCTGGTTGTATATTTATTTGCTTTTTTTTCCATGTTCATTTCTTTTCACATATTTGGTGACCTCGCTTTGAACAGAAAGGCTTCCTATTTTCTCTGGAACAGAATTCACCCAAATGTATGAGGAAACAGAGCTGAAGAATATTTGTGTTGTAGTGTGCAGCTGCAAGAACAACATTATATCACTGATGATACATTGTTTCAGACACAAGCTAGTTCAGACTGTCATGCCGAAGGAAAGCATTTGTTTATCTATTTTAATGACTGAAGGCAAATAATTGAAGGAAAGAAGATCAAAGATGCGGGAGCAGGGGCAAACTGGTAGAAAGATTTATATCTGTCACGTATGTCCCCTTTTGAACCATAATACACAATAAGTTGGTGATAGATTCTCACTACTCAGTATTCAGACTTGATGAACATACTGTATTCACTCATATTGGTTTAATTGCATAAAACATATTCTGTTCTACTTGTATGACATATTTCATTTAGTAAGTGAGAATGATCCAGGAGCACTGCAGCTTCTCTATGGCCTCACCCAGTGCTGTGCTCTGAAGCTAGCATGCTGTAGCTGCTGTTAGTAGTAGAACAAGGCTAAAGCCCCATATGAGTGAGGCAGGCTTCAGTAAGGTGGTCCTTTGGATGACTGAGATACTGTAGATGTCAGTGTTGTGTAGGATGAGGGGTTTTTAGATCTCTTTAAAAACACCAGGTATTGGGATTCTCGTAATAGAGAAAGTAACTACACAAATATAGCCTATTTTTTATATTGAGGGGTACTGCTTTTCTTGTAACACTTGGGAGACTCAGGTTGTTTCATCACACATAAAGTCCTGAAATGACATAGCCCGTTTTCTAGAAGCCATTGTTTAGTTTTCAATTTTAGAACTGCAATAAAAGATGTTAATTTCCCTTGCATTCAGAGGGAAAGGACATCAGTGCGCATGCCCTGGTGGTATCTGTAAATAACTGTGTCTGTATAGCCCATCTGTGCATGTTTGCAGTTGGTTGAGAAACCAAATTAACTCCTTAGTCATATTTGAGTCAGTGCTCTGGGTTAGTAGAAAAGCACTCACAAAACATGTGAAAAGATAAAATGGCAATTATAGCAGGAGGATTATACATGAGAAAATATTCTTCAAAAAAGTCAATATTGGATTTATTTTCAGATCAAGAAAAGATTATTGGGCCTGATCACAGGAAAATAAACATAGAACATTTGTGAAATATACTTGTACGTAAGATGGAAATGAAACTGAATACTGTATGTTTTTGTGGCTGCCCATCTCCCATTCGCAAAATAGAACTGCATTTATCTATCCAGAAGGTTGCTTCTTGATACAGATCTTTTATTAAAACTTTCATTTAAGAAGCAGAGGAGTTGAAAATGCACTTTCCAAACAAAATCACAAGGTTAAGACAGAAAGCTTTACAAGTCTATGGATGTTCAGCCCTGTTGCACTTTGTAGTTTTACACTTACTTCTTTGCTGGTTCTAGCAACTGTTTGTGGGAAATGTTAACATGTGGTTTGAGTGTACAGTATATCATAGATAGTGAATGGGTTAACACTTCCAGGCCTTTTAATATAATCCATTGCAGAATTGTATAATAACCAGCTTAATGTGACAATTAGTGTGCTGGTTAAATAACATGAAGATCTATAGGACAGAGCATTGTAAGGGCTTTAAGTGAAGTAGTCCTGGTTTAAGGTGTGTAATTCAATTTATTCTGCACCAAATATAAAAAGAAACTCACATGTCTGCTTCACTTCTTCAGATATCAAAATATTTTCCAGTGCTTCGAGCTCTCTATTTTTCAGCTCTTTGTTTAAATCACAAAAGTGAAATGAATCTCACTCTGTCCACATGAGGATCCAAGTCAGAGAAACATGGATTGTCAGTGAAGGACACCTTTAAACCCTGGCACAAATGGCCAGAAAAGAATGAGATAATGGTATCTAAGTGTATTAGATATGTAGTGTGGCATCTCTATTTTTAGGCCTGAGGAGTGAATACTTCCGTTTACAGAAAGATACTTTTGCCTGAACGTCACACAGAACTTGGTAGTTGAAAGCTGGCCAACACAAAGGTAAAATCAAAAGGCAAAAATGGCGTTTCTCAAGAGGCAAAGTCTTCAGCCTCTGCTGAACAACCTCAACTTAGTCCTGCCCTCTCACCCCCAGGATATCCTGTGTGATATTCTAAAATCTAGTGTGGAATCAAGCAGAATCGATAATCAGCTATAAGAGGACTTCCTGATAGTGCCACCCACAGATAGGGCTGTATGCCAGGCTGTGAACCCATGGAGACTAGCCCTCATCCCGCTGGGACCATGGCAACCTGCCCTGTGTGGAGAGGTATGATTTCCTGGCTCCAGGAGTCACAAAACTGTTTTCCTTTGTTGAGGTGCCACAACAGCGCAGTTTAAGCCCAGTGTGGCCCGGATACTTGTTATTGGGTTGTATGGGGGACCATACTAAGAAACCTTTCCTTCCTGGAGTAGTGGGCTGTTTCATATTTATTAAATATGTATGGTCATAACTTTTTTAAATCACTTTGCATACAAATTAGAGACAATTCCTTGGATGTTTCTAAAATCTCTAAAAAAGATTAAAATATTAGCAAGTTGGCAAATCCAGCAACACTTACATGTTTTTTTTAAAGAAGAAATTAGATTATTGTGGTATTGTACACTTGTACCTTGGTAATTATAGTTTTGGGTAGCTTTTGTTTATAGGGTTGCAAGACACTTTCTTTCTGGAAGTTAAAGGCCTGAAGAGTAGAGATCAACACAGGTTACTTGGAACATTCAGGGACTGATATTGCAGCTAGTTTGCAAAGGTGTTGATCACCTTTGATTTATTAATTTTTTCACTGTTATTTTAGTTGTCTCAATACATTATCATTCATATTGATCAATCTTGAGGGCAAAATGTAAATTCTAAAAATACTTTTCTAGGCCTAATACTTAGGAAATGTAAAAAGGATCTCCCACTGTCTCTTAAAATGGTGTGAAACTGGATTAGTGATGTGCACAGTACGGCAAGTGTTAGTTTCTGCAGAAATGCTAGCAAAAACAGATATGATTTGGATGACCAAATTGGGCATTTGTACAAATACAGACGGCATTTCCAATTTAAGTGTTATCAGAGTCAACAGAAACGAAAAATTACTTTCTGCTGAATGGAATGCTACAACTCCCTGGATATGGACTTTGTTGATGTTTTAAGGACACAGCTGAGTGAACAATTAATAATAATAGGAGAAATTAAAACCATGACTGTTAATGTAAACCCTTGCAGATTGTGCTACAAGAAATACATTATTTGTGTGAATAGCATGTTAATATACAGCTTCATTATGCACAAGTAATGAACATTTTACAAATTCCAATGGGTATTTCTAACATTCACCAGAGCCCACAGACATTGGTATTTTTACATTGCTATTAACAGATGTTTATCTTGTAAACAAATACAGTTTATATGGAGCCGTGTTAGATACAAATTTTATTTACATTTAATAAAATGCCCTGACAAGTCATTCAGTGATTCATATTGTTATTCTCAAGATTATCATATTGCAGTATTGTTACCTTGACAATGAATTATACTGCAGAAAATCAGATTTGTAATTTACAGAAGCAAAACAAAGATATAAATAAGCACAACGCAAAGCAAAAGAACACCTTACACTCTGGGGTACATTA